GGATTTAAAATATTTTAGTAACCTTAGCTTATTTACCGCAAAATAGTAGAAAATAATGTTTCCACCAAGATTTACTTGCACATGTGCACGCGTTCAAAAACCAACCTGGTCTATACAAGGTGTGGAGATCTAGCCCTCACGTATGTGTTGGTAGAGGGAAAAAGGTAAACATTGCTGGAGAGGATGACCACGACGTCATAGCAGTCGAAAGCAAATTTGTGAAATATGAAGTACAGCAAATTCTAGATATGTTTGCATGACGATTGCTCTTGCTTGTATGCTTTTGTAAAGTATCCGGGAAATATCAGCAGCCGTTTTGTATTTTTATAGTAGCTACTTACTTGAAAACGGGCAAAAACTGACCAGGAGGCTGCTTTTTCCTGGTATACAGTGTGCTAATAAAATAATCAATACATTATCTCAAAATTCAGTGGAAAAAAAATCATATATGTTGGCTTCTTACAGAAATTCTATAATTCATATTCAATTTCCAATGCAAACGCTGATTGAAACAAACGTTATGACGTAACTACGAGCGTGTTTGAGCGTACGGAAGAAGCAAATCGTGCGAAGCCGACTGAAAGCCGAGTGAAAAACGAACTGCACCAATACGCACAGGCCATCAATTCCACACCTTGTATAGACCAGGTTGTTCAAAAACAACTACTAAAATTTAACATTTCAGTGCCCACATTTCAAAGGGGCGTAATTGCTTTTGTAAACAATGGCTTTAGCTATCGATTTATCGCAAATAAAAGTCCATCCCTTCAAATTAACAATGCTAGCTGGCAAAGTAAACATTCCTCTACCTGCTGGTGTCATTAATCTTCATGAGTAAGTTTTAATTCACGAGAAATCGACGGCTAAAGTCATTGTTTACTAATACAATTACGCCCCTTTGAAATGTTGACACTGATTTGACGGCAGACATGACGGCAGAGATAGCACACTGAAAAAAGGATACTACAAAGTAGATGAGAAATATTAGGTCGGTTTGAAAATATCAGATGGGAATCAAAGATATTTAGAAAGTATTAGAAAATATTTCCTAAACTATAAGATATAAATATTGCAATGTCTTGCCCATCATGATGCTCACTTGCAGTGAGCACTCATACATCTAGTTTTTACTGGAAATCCTATATATGAGTGATCATTGCAAGACAGCCTACACGGTAAAAAGCACAAACGAAGTGACAGACGGAGCGGCTTGCAATTTGATTTGACGCACTTACATTTTAAATTTTCGAGTGTACCTCACGGCAACACTATCTACTCATATGTACTAGCTTAAAGTAGTTCATGCCACTGGGGTACCGCCTGTTATCTCTTTTTCTCTAAAGAAATTTGAAAGGAGAGCCTGTTGTCAAACAGCATATCATTATGTCGTCTTCGTTATTATCTGCACTTCTTTTGTATAATAAAAGACTATAGATCAAAATGATTGGGGGTAAACACATCGAGTTAACATTTGCTTACATGTAAACGATGTTGAGCTGTCAATGACCGACAGTTTTTGCTGAAAATATGTTATGTTTGAAAATACTAATTAGCAATTTTCGATTAGCAATTGATCGACTCTCTTCGTAGACTTTCTCTTTCGTTAATAACTTGAGCGCATAACTGTTTTTTTGTTGAATTTGTCGTATTAGATACTAGATTAAAACTTCTTTTAACGATCTGTGAGCAGAAAAAACCTGGGAATGTCTTTAATTAGCCGTGAGCATACAAAGAAAAAGTCGACGAAGAGAATCTGTCAATGTTACTTAGGACCTAATGCAATGTTTAGCAATCACTGATTCAATTACACAAGCCCACTTCATCTGGCCCGTTTCAAATGGATGTTTTGGGAATGGGGGTTGAATGCGAGAGGCTCCCAAACATACAAACTTTGCTCTTTCATTATCACGACGTTTTTATGCATAATCCAGTGTGACGTAACGTTGGATCATGCGTAAGAACACCGTGAAAACGAAAGAGTCGACTATATTCCTTCTGTCGTACCTATAGTAATGCACACGGTTCCCGCACTGACTGTTTCTTACTTTTTCACTCTAATCAAAATTTCCTCCGATGAGTGAGAAAACAGCACCCCGTCAACGCGAGTTGCCAGATCATTGCACACAAAACCAACTTGAATTAATTCAAATCAAAAATACTAGCGAACCTGGCGGTGAGCGGCGGAAAGTGGTCTAAAATTCTATTACAGAGAACCACATTATTTTAATTAATTTCTTCGGAGAAAGTCGTCTGTAACTTCGTTTGTGATATTACTACCCAGATCACATGTTTCCAAGTGACATTGAACAACATCGCAAGGCTTTTAGTAGAAGAAAGGCGAGACATTGAGCAATAAATTTGATAAGTTTGACACTGTTTTGTAATCGAACTTATCTGAGTAATCCACTAGTATTGACTACAGCAACAATTTCGTATTACTCACGCTCTACACAGCAAAAAAATGTAATATTGATCAACGTAATTCAAGCTGATGTATGAAATAATGATGTAACGGGTGATACGGTCAAAATTTGGTCAATATCAACTTGACGTATTTCTTTCAATTTTGCATTTAAAAAACCTGAACACCCCTCATTTTGAAGGTGTGTGTGTGTAGAATGTTGCTCCTATTTTGATTTTGGAATTCACTCTTCAGTTGTCAAAATGCCGTCCAAGCAAGAAGAGCAGCGTATCAAAATTTTGCTCGCGCATCGCGAAATTCCGAGCTACTCGCACGCAAAGTTGGCAAAATCGCTAAAAGTTGCCAAATCAACCGTTACAAATGTAATTAAAGTGTTTGGGGAATGTTTGTCGACAGCCAGGAAGTCTGGATCGGGGGGAAATCGAAAACCGGAAACCACTGAGACGACAAAGAGAGTTGCCGGTAGTTTCAAGCGAAACCCTAACCTCTCTCTCCGAGATGCCGCAAATAAGCTGGGTGTATCGTCTACAACCGTGCATCGAGCCAAAAAACGAGCCGGACTATCGACTTACAAGAAGGTAGTGACTCCAAATCGCGATGATAAACAAAATACGACGGCCAAAGCGCGATCCCGGAGGCTGTACACGACGATGCTGACGAAGTTTGACTGCGTGGTAATGGACGACGAAACCTACGTCAAAGCCGACTACAAGCAGTTTCCGGGACAGAAGTTTTATACGGCAAAAGGAAGGGGAAAGGTAGCAGATGTTTTCAAGCACATGAAACTGTCAAAGTTCGCAAAGAAATATCTGGTTTGGCAAGCCATCTGTACCTGTGGCTTGAAAAGCAGCATTTTCATAGCTTCCGGGACTGCCAACCAAGAAATTTACGTGAAAGAGTGTTTGAATAAACGTCTGCTGCCTTTCCTGAAGAAACACGGTTGTTCGGTACTGTTTTGGCCGGATTTGGCATCTTGCCATTACGGTAAAAAGGCCATGGAGTGGTACGCCGCCAACAACGTGCAGGTGGTTCCCAAGGACAAGAACCCTCCCAACACGCCAGAGCTCCGCCCAATTGAGAAATACTGGGCTATTGTCAAGCGGAACCTAAAGAAGACCAAAAAACTGCTAAGGGCGAGCAGCAGTTCAAGGCAAACTGGCTTTCTGCGGCGAAGAAGGTGGACAAGGTGGCTGTACAAAATCTGATGGCAGGGGTCAAGCGTAAGGCCCGGCAATTCGGATTTGGAAAAGCGGAAGCCTAACTGACCAAATTTTGACCGTATCACCCTTTAATAGCAAAAAGCAGATACAATATTACATCAATGGATGTAATTTTGTTTGCAAAATCGATGTACATCGTACAATGTGATATTACACAACCGATGGATTGACCTGGTTGCAGCAGTTTCGATGTAATATTCAACAAGTTTTTTTGCTGTGTAGAACGCAAATTATTTCGGGTGGAAATTAAGAATTATCGGTTCTCTCGCTTGACTTCATTTGTTGCTGACTTGCCATCTTTGCGAGTAATGTTTGTCATGTGCGTTTTTAACATTTGCTTCCAAAAGCAAAACTAATCAAATTGAATGGATGAAAACAGTGGTGCCGATTCAAATGATAATCATTTTGATTTAAAGGTGTATACAGTACATATTTTTCAACGACAAATCACTTTGTTTCAAAACGCAAATAACTTGAAAATCAATGATAAATCACTTCTATTCGTAGTGCCGCATAACAGACTGAGTCAAGTGCAAGAACATTCGGATTAGATGTGATACCTTTTAACCGTGTACGCGGAGATTTGAAGTATATGTCTTAATTTGCCTGTAGATTTGTATTCTCTAGCCAATAAATTATCGCACTAAAGCTTCATGTTAGATAGCATTTGAAACCAACTCTTATAATACATAAGGTTACAAACTTTATCATACAAACGTTCATGTAAAGTTCCATAACCATTTCAGTTAAAGTTTAGCAGGGATTATAAACAATTTTAACCATTATTGGTAAGGTCAAGTAATGGTTCGTGTAACGACGGACCCCCCGTCGCAGCGGCGCCGTGCGCACAGAACGCTGAATGAACCATCGCACTTCACTTCACATATCTCGATGACAGCGCACGTCCACGATTGTCATCGCTGTAGAGTATGGGAAAAAACAATCGGTAGAGAGAACGATTTACAACGAGTACAACAGTAATTCTAAAATAATTTATTATTTGTACTTAAAAGTATTTGACTTTAAACGAGTGCATTTAAATGCGATACCTATATTATTCTACAACACTAAAAGTAAGTTTGTTTGCCTAAAATATAGCTTCAAATTAGTGAACTAATAATATCTTAACCTAGATTCAGCTTAAAAACTACAACGTACGAATCCGACGACTCACTACTTGAACTATTGTCGGTTTACCAAAATTGTAAGTTGAAATGGGAGCAGTTTGTAGGTTAGACTAAAATAAATATCCTTTTCTAGCTTGAAGCTAACAGCACAACAAAAACAGCGTTTGCTCTCGGGAGTTGGAAAACCCGTCAAGTCTTCAACCGTACATTTTCTTCAAGAATTTTGTCGGGATGTTGTACCGAAGTGACGAAGTGGTGAAAGATCGTCATGAGATCACGTTGCACAGTTGCCAATCATGCAATCGTCCGGATGCGGTGGAATCGGACATGGTAGAATGCAGTACGTGCAAGCTATGGGAGCATTTTGGCTGCGCGGGTATTGATCAAAGGATCAAGCAAGCGGATCGCCGATACCATTGCAAAATATGTTGCTCCAAGCTAGGAGCAATTAGCAAGCAGCTACCGCTTCCCGCAGCAGATCGCCCTATTCGAAGCACACGGGCTAGTTCGAAAAGGAGCCAACAAGATCCGACAACGGCGGCAAGTGTTACGTCGAGCGTTCGTGCAGCAATTCTGGAGGCCCAGCTGAAGAATGCGGAAGAAGAACTACGACGACGGGAACACGATTTGATGGAGCAAGCCGAAATAAAGAAGAGGGAACTGGAAGAATCGGAACGCCAGCTGGAGGAGAAGAAAAAGTTAGCAGAAGAAGAAAGAAGTCTACGTGAAAGAAAATTGAAGGAGGAAAAGGAATTAAAGGCCATGCAGTCGCAGTTGAGGAAGGAATCCATGGAAAAGCGGCAGGAAATCATTCGGCAAGCAGCTTTGAATAGCAGTAGAGGTGGGTCCATTCCGGAGTCTTTCCAAAAGGTATCGGACTGGCTGGAAGAGCACACGGGTGCTGGAGGATTAGAGGGAAATCCAGTGGAAGACAATAACGTCAATCCCCACTCTAACAAGTTTCCTATTAACCTAGCACAGCAAGTTGGGGGACGAAATCCGTTGATAAGTGGAAATTCATCTCGACGACCAGCAGCTTTACCCCCTCAACCAATAACCCATTTAACTCCACTTCACTCTGGTGAATCACCAATTCCTGCACCTCAAGAACATCCGAATCGGAGCCCGGTTGGTTTCAACCTGAACGATCAACGACCCAGACAGATAGGTTGGTCGATTTCGAATCCTGTCGTGCTTACACAGCAACACATTGCTGCACGGCAAGTACTGGGCAAAGAGTTGCCAGTGTTGGAATATCAACGAAGAGAAAATACAAACGTGTTAACTTTGTAAGCGTCACTTTATTAATCGTCCCATAGGTTACAAGGTTGCCAGTCATCACAACATTATCTCTCTTTATTTCATTTTGAAAATGATAAAATATCGGAAGGACATTATTCCATTGAATAATCTTCGTAACGCTTAGGACGTACAATCTTCCGGCGGGGCCTTGCATCCGACGATGCGCTCACTGTTGGTAACACGGCACTTCCGAATTCAGTTACCTTTGGATTTTCCGGGATTCCGTTGTCGGATGAGTTCAAGGTTTTCAGGTGGGAAGTGTTACGCTTGTACCTTTGTCCACTAGGAGTTTCAACGGTCGCCATACTACCGTTTTTCTCTACGACCGTTGCAGACGTGGACAAAAATGTAGGGGTTAGCTTATTATGCGGTTGCATATTCCTCATCAAAACTTCGTCACCAACCTTGATCGTAGTTTCCTTAGCTCCAACCCTCTTGTCTCGGTTCTCCTTGGCTCCGTGTTTTACTATGGCATCACGATCTCGCAGTTCTTCATCGAAGATTACTTCATCCTGCATGTGTGGAAATAGGTCTCGAAATCGACGTCCAAACATCAAAGTCGCTGGGGCAACTCCAGTAACACTATGAGGTGTCACCGAATACATATACAAATATTCTTGAAGCGCGTGTTCCATATTGGTCCTTTGGTGTTGACTGATCTTGAGCACCTTCATGAGTGAACGATTCTGCCGTTCCACTTCTCCGTTCGCAGCAGGCCAGTAAGGTGTCGTGTGAGCGAGTTTTATGCCGTAGTCAACACAGTAGTCCTTGAGCTCTTGACTTGAAAAGTTTTTCGCGTTGTCTGTTGTCAACACAAACGGCAGTCCCATTCTCGTGAAAATTTGCTTCAAGACTCGTATTACATCAGAAGATGTAGTGTGGGACATGAACTCGGCAATCACGAAACGGCTATACAAATCAACTAGCACAAAAATGTATTTACCATTCGGGAGAGGACCAAGAAAATCAGCACTCAAATGCACCCATGGGGCTGACGGCATTTCACGTAAACGCAGCGGTTCCGGTTTGTTCAATGGTCCAACCATTTGGCACTCCACACAGTTTCTGCAGGACCTTTCAACATCGGCATCTAGTCCTGGCCACCAAACAGCCGAGCGCAAACGACGTTTCATTTTCTCCTTCCCCGGGTGTCCAATGTGCGAAAGCTCTAGCAGTGCAGCCCGCAGGCCCTCAGGAATCACTATTTTATTCTTCCTCAGCAGAATTTCCTTGATGAAACAGAATTCGGTCTTGAACGGCACAAATTTCTTCAAGCTTTCATCCCAGCGATCATCTAGAAGAGCTTGTTTCACTTTCTGGATCTCTTCGTCCTCTTGCGAATTGAGTATTATCTCGTTCATCGTGATAGCAGCAGGTTTGTTCATCTCAACAATCAATCCCAATGAATCCTCCGTCGTCTTGTCAAACGTTGTAGAGCTGATTGTATCACACAACCTCGATAACGGATCTGCAATATTGATTTCACCCGGAACATGAATCACAGAAAAACGAAAAGATTGCATACGCAGTATCCATCTTTCTTGACGCTGATTTGGGTGTGATGATTCGTTAAAGATGTGTACCAGCGGCTTGTGATCCGTGACGACAGTGAACTCCAAACCTCTCAGGTACATTGCAAAGCGTTCAGTAGCCCAGACTATGGCAAGAGCCTCTTTATCCAGCGTTGAATACTTCTGCTCCGTTTTGGTTAGACTTTTACTAGCGTAGCATACGGGTCTTGATTTCGATTTAGTGGTTTGCAACAAGACAGCCCCAAGGCCTTTCTCGCTAGCATCTGTTACCAGCATGGTTGGATAACTAGGATTATAGAAAGCCAGATTTCGTGGATTCGACATAACGTTCTTAATTTCGTTGAATGATCTCTTTGCATCTTTGGACCAATGAAATTTATTCCCTTTTACGATCATTTCCCTCAGGGGGGCAGTCGCATTAGATAGCTTAGGAATAAACTTCCCTACGTAGTTTACTAGACCCAAGAAGCTACGCATTTCGGTCACGCTCTGAGGATGACGAAAGTTCTGGATCGCGTTCACCTTGTCATTTGTAGGCAGAATCCCATCAGCAGAAAGTTGATGCCCCATGAAGCAAACCGTAAATTTACCGAACTCGCATTTCGATTCGTTGATAGTGAGGCCATGTTCACGTAGACGATCAAGGACAGCTTTGAGCCTTTTATCGTGTTCTTCTTGAGAAGACCCATAGACCAGCATATCATCTATGAAGACTTTAACACCTTTCAAACCTTTCAGCACTCTCTCGATACAGCGTTGAAAAATCTCGGGGGCAACGCTCATGCCGAACATTAGTCTTTTGTAGCGGTAATAAGCATCTTGCGTCACAAACGTCGTAATGTCTCGCGAATTTGGCGATAGTTCGATTTGATGGAATGCCTTCACGAGATCCACTTTGCTAAATACTTTACAGCCTTCCAGGTGCGGCATTATTTCCTCGAAGGTTGGTAAAGGATGTTTCTCCGGAATAATAGCCCTGTTCGCTTTTCTCATATCCACACAAAGTCGCACATTCTTGCCGTGGTCTTTGATAGTTACTACTAACGGCGATGCCCAAGTGATATTCAGGGGCGCGAGTTCGATGATATCCTGTTTCAATAAATCTTCGATCCGTTCGTCGACTAGTTTCTTTAACGGAATCGGCAACCGTCGACAGGGTTGTTGAACAGGTGGTACGGAATGGTCAATCTTGATGTCAACCTGTACATGCTTCAGCTTTCCGATCGAGAGTTTCCCCGCATCACTAACATTGCACAATACGCTGTGGATTTCGAGGATGCCCAAGTCCATTGACGTTTTCTTGCTCAAAAGGTTTCCTCCTTTGTTTCCCTCGACGACATAGATTTCATGATGCACTGTAGCATTCTTCGTTGCAATATCAGCTTTAATTATTTTCTCCACTTTCAGCTTCCCATCACCATACGCCCTCAATACCTTGTCCGACTTTTCTTCCTTGCTCACTACACATTCTTGTCCTTTTAGCCATTTCCAGGTTCCACGAGTAATTACATTTACGTGAGCTCCGGAGTCCACAATCCAACGTAGTTCCACGCCACCAACGTAACATGTTACTTTGTCTGCATCAGTGCTGGTTGCATATACGTGCTGCACATCGTTCTGCGCTGCTTCACAGCTCTCGCTCTCCGATGAATCCGATACAGAATCATAGTCTTCACGGACTTGACGTACTCGAGATTTGCTTGTTGTTGCCTTCACAGTTTTGGTCTTGCACATTTTTTTTAAAATGACCCACGATTCCGCATTTGTCGCATACTTTACTTTTGGCCGGACAGCTTTTGTCGTTTGCGAAATGTCCTGGGTTTCCGCATCGGAAACATGTTTCGTGGCGATCCAGGTGGCGAGCAACTTTCTTCACCAAATTGACAGAATCCTCTTCGACAGACTTCTTCATTTGCTCTCTATTCCTCATTACCGTTTCCAAAATCCGACCTTCATCTGCTATTTCCTGCACCATCATCAGCTTTTTCTTCAATATCGATTCCCGCAGAGAATCCAAACAACACTTATCGAAGACCTGTTCGGTAATCCGCATTTCCAGGGCCACTCCATAATCGCAAAGTCTGCCCTGATCCCGAAGACGATGGATGAACTTCTCGACTGTTTCACTATTCAACTGTTCCATTTTCCGGAAAACACATCTTTCATATGGTACGTTATTCAACGGAGCAAAATGAGCATCAAGCAAACCGATAGCTTGTTTATATACATCAGAACCCGCAGGGGGAGCAGCGTTGTGTCCTTCGATGTTGAAAAATATGTCTTGTTCTTCCGGACCTGCGTAGTGAAGCAGATAAGACCGCTTCCTAGAAGGCAGAGCTACGCAATTAACATCAAGGAACAGTTCAAACGAGCGTTTCCATTTTGTCCATCGGCTCCCGATGGAGGCACTGTCCGCCACGTCGAAGGGTGGTACCGTCGATTTGTTTACATCCATTTTTTTTTACACTTTTTGTTTCTCCTTCTATTTTTTTTTGCAACTATGACGTGTATACTTTTCACTGATTTAGGTTAGGCATCTCCGGCCTCCAGAAACGATCCGCTGTCAGCTATTTTTTTTTTTGTTTTTCCACTGATTTCCGTCTTTCGTTTGGTTTGTCCGTATCAAAACACCAAGATCTACGCATTTAAGCAAATTTTTCCGAATTTAATCCCATCTTCAGTCGCCAAAATGTTGGAATATCAACGAAGAGAAAATACAAACGTGTTAACTTTGTAAGCGTCACTTTATTAATCGTCCCATAGGTTACAAGGTTGCCAGTCATCACAACAGCCAGTATTTAGCGGTAATCCTGAAGATTGGTCTATATTTATAAGCAGTTTCGACCAGTCCACGATCGCTTGTGGATATACGGATGCAGAGAACCTCATCCGCCTTCAGAGGTGTCTCCGTGGTCGCGCTCTAGAAACGGTCAAGAGTCGTTTACTCCTACCAACAGGGGTTCGGCAAGTGATACAAACCCTGCGGACGCTCTATGGTCGACCAGAACTTCTCATTCGTTCGCTGATCGATAAGATTCATCAAGTGCCACCACCAAGGCATGACCGATTGGGCACATTAATTGACTTCGGCATTTCTGTGCAGAATCTCGTGGACCATCTCATTGGGGCTGATCAAAAAGACCACCTATCGAATCCAGTCTTGATGCGAGAATTAGTGGAAAAGCTCCCGGGATCAATACGACTAGACTGGGTTGCCTTCAAAACCCGTTCTCAAACAGCTAACCTGGAAACATTCGGCAATTTTATGTCCGGGCTAGTGAACGCAGCGAGTGAAGTCACTTTCGATCTGCCAGGATCCAGCAGTACTTCCAGGGTAGAAAAGCGAAAGCCGGAACGGAAAGAGCTGGGATCTATCCATGCACATACTTCTGGGCAACCGATCCACTACCGGTAGGTAATTCCACTACAATTTCAAAACAACCGGCCAAACCTTGTGTCTCATGTGGCCGTGAGATTCATCGAGTGCCGGGTTGTCCACAGTTCAAGGCTGCTAACTCTGACGAGCGGTGGAAATTAGTCGACCAAAAGGGGCTCTGCAGAACGTGTCTCAACAGCCATGGTAAGTGGCCATGTAGATCGTGGCGAGGCTGCGAAATCGAGGGATGTCGCAAAAAGCATCACACACTCCTCCACTCGTCCTCTCCTCCTGGAAATGTGATTGTTTCTGCAAGTCACATGTCGCTCGGTGAATTTTCCTGGCCTCTTTTCCGTATGGTGCCAGTAGTTCTCTTTGGAAAGCATGGTCCACGGGTGGTGCTGGCCTTTATCGACGAAGGTTCTTCATTTACACTGTTGGAAGGCTCTGTTGCCGACGAGTTAGGTATCTCGGGACCTACGGAAGCACTTACTCTTCAATGGACTGGCAACGTGAAGAGGATCGAACCAAAATCAAAGGTGGTGCAAGTTAATATTTCCGGGAAAGATAGTTCAACCAAATACAAGTTAGGTCATGCCAGAACCGTGAGCAGTTTACTCCTGCCGTCTCAAACGCTGAGGTACCGCGAATTGGCTAGACGATTTCCCCATCTGCGTGGCCTCCCTGTAGAAGAATACGAACTTGCTCAACCAAAGTTGCTGATCGGGCTGGACAACCTTCACCTATGTGTTCCGCTAAAAATTAGGGAAGGGGGGCCGAATGATCCAATCGCTGCCAAGTGTCGTTTGGGATGGAGTATATACGGGAGCATACCGTTCCATACACGTTCAGAAGCTGTTGTTAACTTTCACGTCGCAGCGTTGCCTGATCATGATCAAGAGTTGAATGAACAGATGCGCGATTACTTCGCTATGGAGAATGCTGGGGTTTCTGCTCCGTGCAACAAACTCGAGTCCGAAGAGGATAAGCGGGCAATCCAAATCCTGCAAGAATCAACACGTCGCACGAGAGAAGTATCTCGTTTTGAGACGGGGTTGTTGTGGAAGTTTGACGATCCTGACTTCACTGGCAGTTATCCGATGGCAGTTCGCCGTCTGGAGTCATTAGAACGGAAATTTGAAGCGAATCCATGTTTGGCGGAGCAAGTACGCAACCAGATAGCTGACTACGAGCGCAAAGGCTATGCGCACAAGGCCTCTCTTACGGAGCTGACGTCCATACCGGCAAACCGGGTGTGGTACCTACCTTTAGGAGTCGTAACCAGTCTGAAGAAACCTGGCAAGATCAGATTAATCTGGGATGCAGCAGCAAAAATAGGTGAAGCTTCGTTCAACTCCAAACTTCTGGAAGGACCGGACCTGTTAACGCCACTTCCGAAGGTTCTATGCCAATTCCGGCAGTTTCCAGTGGCAGTGTCTGGAGATCTGATGGAGACGTTCCACCAATTAGGAATCCGGTATCCGGACTGCTTATCTCAGCGATTTGTGTTCCGCGATAGACCTTCCGACTACCCGCAAGTCTATATCATGGACGTAGCCACGTTTGGATCGACTTGTTCTCCAGCGTCGGCACTATATGTGAAGAATCTGAATGCCCAAGAATTCTCCAACAAATTTCCCCGTGCTGCTGAAACCATAATCAATAAGCACTACGTCGACGATTATCTAGATAGCTTTCGAACAGTCCAAGAAGCGATAGATGTGGTGAATGAGGTGAAGATGGTGCATTCGATGGGAGGATTCACGCTACGACACTTCCTATCCAATGAAGTGGATGTTCTGCGTGGGATCGGTGAAGTTGCAGCAGATGAAAGCAAGAATTTATTACTGGAGAGAGGAGGATATGTCGAATCAGTGCTTGGCATGCAATGGTTGCCAGAAGACGATGTTTTCACCTATTCCTTCGTTATGAGAGATGATCTTCAACCAATCTTGGAAGACAGACATGTCCCTACGAAGCGCGAAGTAGTTAAAGTGGTGATGACCTTGTTCGATCCACTAGGACTTATTTCGTTTTTCCTCGTTCATGGAAAAATCCTGATTCAGGATATTTGGGCCAGAGGTACAGATTGGGACGTTACCATTCCCAACGACCTGTACGAACGCTGGCGTACCTGGACGAGCCTTTTTCCGACGCTGGATCTGCTTCGTATTCCGAGATGTTACTTCCGGTCAACGCTTCCGGAAAATGTTGATGGCCTGGAGATTCATATGTTCTGCGATGCCAGCGAAGCAGCGTTCTCATGTGCCGCTTACTTTCGCGCAGAAATAGATGGAGAAATACAAGTGGCGTTCATCGGTTCTAAAACAAAGGTCGCTCCACTCAAAACCCTATCCATTCCTCGACTTGAACTAAACGCCGCCGTGCTTGGGACCCGTCTGTTGGAGACTCTTCAGAACCATCATAGCATACCGGTGTCTCGCAGGTTTCTCTGGAGCGATTCGAGTACCGTATTGTCATGGATTCGTTCCGACCATCGCCGGTACCATAAGTTCGTAGCCTTCCGTATCGGAGAAATCTTGATGTCTACAAATCCGTCGGAGTGGAGATGGGTTCCCACCAAACTTAACGTTGCCGATCAAGCAACGAAATGGAACAACGGACCATTGCTTTCGTTAGAGAATCCCTGGTTTCGAGGGCCGAGTTTCCTTTTCGAACCAGAGAAATTATGGCCAAAACAGCATCCTTCAACGCCGACGAAAGAAGAACTTCGCCCTGCTACCACGCTCTTGAGTCACCTCACACCGCAGGTGGGTATCCCGCTTGAAGTTCCTCGATTCAACTCATGGACAAAGCTTCAACGAACCGTGGCCTTTGTTTTGCGCTACGTGGACAACTGTTGCCGTAAGAAACACCAAGAATGTCTGCGCCTAGATGTCCTCACCCAAGAGGAGCTAAAACGGGCCGAAGAACTTCTGTGGAAGATCGCTCAGAAGGAAACATTTGCGGAAGAAATTTCTATCCTCGCCGAGCCACAGGGTCCTCCTGAGAAACGACATCGTATTGTGCACAAATCCAGCCCAATTTACAAGACATGGCCCTTTATGGATGATCATGGGATCGTGAGGATGCGTGGCAGAATAGGTGCCGCTCCTTATGTCCCAACCGAAGCTAAGTTTCCAACGATTTTGTCGAAAAACCACCCAATAACATTCCTAATCGTAGATTGGTTCCATCGCCGCTTCAACCATGCCAATCGAGAGACCATCGTCAACGAGATCCGCCAACGATTCGAGATTTTTAAGCTTAGATCGCTGGTGGAGAAAGTCTCAAAAAATTGCGTCTGGTGTCGTGTTTTCAAAGCTGCTCCAAGACCTCCAGCAATGGCCCCACTACCAAAGATACGCCTCACTTCATTCGTTCGACCCTTTTCATTCGTCGGACTTGACTACTTTGGGCCAGTCTACGTTAGAGTCGGTCGAAGTCTCGCTAAACGATGGATTGCCCTGTTCACTTGCCTGACGGTAAGAGCAGTGCACATGGAGGTGGTGCATCCTCTGAGCACGGAATCCTGCATCATGGCAGTGCGTCGCTTCGTGTCTCGCCGGGGTCCGCCCAGAGAATTCTATTCTGACAATGGGACGTGCTTCCAAGGTGCAAGTCGGGAGCTCAAAGCAGAAATCGAGAATCGAAATGAAGCCCTAGCGCTTACTTTCACGAGCGCGGAAACCAGCTGGAAATTCATCCCACCTGCTGCGCCCCATATGGAAGGCGTATGGGAACGACTAGTTCGGTCGGTTAAGGTGGCAACTGGGGCAGTTTTGGATGCCGCTCGTAAGCCCGATGACGAAGCTCTGGAGACCGTGATCCTAGAAGCCGAGGCGAGTATACTATAGGCCGCTCACTTTCGTACCATTGGAATCAGCTGATCAGGAGGCTTTGATTCCCAATCATTTCTTGTTGGGCAGTTCTACTGGGGTCAAAATTAACCCCACGGCTCCCGTAGATAGCCGTACTATACTTAGGAGCAACTGGAAACTGGCGCAGTTCATCAGTGAAGAATTCTGGCGGCGATGGGTGAAAGAATACTTGCCCGTAATCACTCGCAGGTGCAAATGGTTTGAGGAAGAGAAGGATCTTGAAGTCGGTGACTTAGTGTTGGTGGTCAGTGGATCCTTAAGGAACCAATGGCTGAGAGGACGCATCGAGCAGGTGTTCCCTGGCAAGGACGGGAGAGTACGTCAAGCGCTCGTACGCACTGCAACGGGATTTCTTCGACGACCAGCTGTGAAACTAGCTGTTTTGGACGTCATGAACAGTGGTAAACCTGGTTCAACTGCTCCTGGAACTCCAGAAGATCACCAAGGTTTACGGGCGGGGGAATGTAACGACGGACCCCCCGTCGCAGCGGCGCCGTGCGCACAGAACGCTGAATGAACCATCGCACTTCACTTCACATATCTCGATGACAGCGCACGTCCACGATTGTCATCGCTGTAGAGTATGGGAAAAAACAATCGGTAGAGAGAACGATTTACAACGAGAACAACAGTAATTCTAAAATAATTTATTATTTGTACTTAAAAGTATTTGACTTTAAACGAGTGCATTTAAATGCGATACCTATATTATTCTACAACACTAAAAGTAAGTTTGTTTGCCTAAAATATAGCTTAAAATTAGTGAACTAATAATATCTTAACCTAGATTCAGCTTAAAAACTACAACGTACGAATCCGACGACTCACTACTTAAACTATTGTCGGTTTACCAAAATTGTAAGTTGAAATGGGAGCAGTTTGTAGGTTACACTAAAATAAATATTCTTTTCTAGCTTGAAGCTAACAGCACAACAAAAACAGCGTTTGCTCTCGGGAGTTGGAAAACCCGTCAAGTCTTCAACCGTACAGTTCGCATTTATGCGGGATAGCCCACCGAGTCCACCTCGTCAGTAAATTTATATTCTGTGTACAGTGTTTTCAGTTTACGGTGCAAGCCCAGTATATAAAAATACCGAACAACTAAATGCTGAGTTTCGGTTATTAAATAAACGAACGTTAAAAAATACATACCGGACTTTCTTTCCAACGAATACTGCTGTACCCAATCTTACACCACACAGTGTTGAAATATTTCAAGCCTGCGTCACCGGCTGCGCCAGTTCGAATTTGACATCTCGCGAAGCGCACTTTTTGCACTTTTTGTTGTAATCCGGCGCGTTGTTTTGACTGTTTTGGAAGTGAAGTTCGATTTGATTTTCGTGTCGATTCAGGAGTGCTTTTACGGACTTAAGTAATCAACTTTGTGTTTTTCATTGGCATTTTACTAGGAATTTAGGAAGCTATTTTCCCTCTTTACAATGGCTCAAAAATCCATACTGTAAGTTTTTGATACGACGGATTTTTCGATGTATTTCATTTTGAATTCCATTGCTATCCCGCAGATCATTTTTCACCAAAACGGATGTCAAGAAGTACGATGACGATGACAAAGTGAATGAGAACGGAAAGGAGAAGGAGGACAAAAACAGTGCGGTTAGGTAAATACAACAGAATTAGTGCGCGCCTTCTGAATGATTGTTGTGGCTTCGAATCGGTTGCTTTTCGGGCGGAAAACCTAATCGAAATATGATTCGAAGCGCAGTTCTTTCGATCTATCGTGTTTCCGTAGTCAACGCGCTGGCGGAGGGTTCCATTCGCGGTCAGCGAATGGTTCATCTCACACGGGATGTGCGTCACTTTGTGTTTACTACCAGTAGTAGTAATTGCTCTTTGTATTCTTCCGTTCGTTCCTATGCTCAACGTAGTAAAAAATCGACCAGCAGCGTCACTGAGGATGACGATAGTCCCGTGAAGCGATCCGGGGGACGTAAGCAGAATGCCGCTGCTTTCGATTCTTCACCATCTCCTTCGCCGGAGAAGAAGACGACGACGACAAAGGAGAGTCCACCGAGTTCCGGGAGCAATACGAAGCGCCGTCGGATCGCCTCGTCCAGCAGTGAGGATGAAGCCCCTAAGAAGAAGTCTAGGTGAGTGAAGGTGATTATTTGGTTCCGGTATATTGACAATGAACGGGTTTTTCGTTTCAGTCCTGTGGCAAAAAAATCCGAAGGGGACAAACCTGTCAAACAGGAGAAGACAACTCCGCAGAAAACTCCTAAATCAACTAGCAAGTCCTCTAAAAAGTCTAAGGAGGACAAGAAGACGTCCAAAAAGAGTTCTCCGAAGGAAAAATCTAAGGAAACGAAAACTAGTTCTTCGGTGAAGGAGGAAAAACCGGTTGGCGAGGACGTCGAAATGAAGGAAGTCAAGGAGGAGGTTGAGTCTCCCAAAAAAGAATCGAAACCGGTTGATAACAAGGACAAGACGGTGAATGTGATGAGCTTTTTCACTAGCGCTGGTAAAAAGGAAAGTAGTTCTGGAAGCGGAACCAAAACGGAAGGCGTCGAGTATAATCCGAGCAAGAAGAACTACCACCCAATTAATGACGCATTCTGGAAGAAGGGTGAGAAGGTACCATACTTGGCGCTGGCCAGGACGTTCCAGATAATTGAGGAAACCAGCGGTCGACTGCGCATGATGGAAATCCTGTCCAACTTCTTCCGGTCGGTGATACTGCTCAGTCCGAACGATCTACTGTCGAGCGTTTATCTCTGTCTGAATCAGCTTGCTCCTGCTTACGAAGGTATTGAGTTGGGTATCGCCGAGCACACGTTGATGAAAGCGATTGCCCAAAGTACCGGACGAAGTCTGGCTCAGATCAAGACTGATGCCCAGAATACGGGTGATCTGGGGTTGGTGGCCGAGCAGTCCAAGAGCAGTCAGCGAATGATGTTCCGTCCGGCTCCGCACTCGGTGGAGGGTGTTTTTGGGAAGCTAAGGGAGATAGCCAAGATGACCGGAACGACGTCGATGGCCAAGAAGATGGACAAGATTCAATCGATGTTCGTGGCGTGTAGGCATTCGGAGGCTCGATTCATCATTCGTTCGCTTGCTGGGAAGCTTCGGATAGGTCTGGCGGAACAATCGCTGCTGCAAGCACTGGCTCAAGCATGTGCCATGACTCCACCTAATCAGAAGGACGCCAAAGAACCCATCATCAACGCGCTGAGCAAGTGCAACGAAGCATCGGCCAAGGCCAAGGCGGACGAAATTACTCTTATCCTGAAGACAGTCTACTGTCACTGTCCGAACTACAATCAGATTGTTCCGGTTCTGCTGGAACATGGCATCAATCATTTGCTGGAGAAGTGTCCGATGATGCCGGGCACTCCGTTGAAGCCTATGTTGGCGCATCCGACCAAGGGCGTCCAAGAAGTGCTGGAACGGTTCGAAGGAATCGATTTCACCTGCGAGTGGAAGTACGACGGAGAACGGGCTCAGATTCATCTGCTGGAGGACGGAAGTGTCAACATCTACAGTCGGAATCAGGAGAACAACACCAGCAAGTATCCGGATATCATCGCGAGACTGGATAACACTCGGAAGGAAGCGGTCACCAGTGCGATTCTGGACTGCGAGGCCGTGGCGTGGGATCCGGAAAAGAAACAGATTTTGCCGTTCCAGATCTTGAGTACCCGGAAGCGAAAAGACGCCAACGAGGCTGATATTAAAGTTCAGGTGTGCGTCTTCATGTTCGACCTGCTGTACTTGAACGGCGACCCGCTGGTGGAGCGTCCGTTCCTCGAGCGTCGGGAGCTTCTGTACAAGCACTTCAGTGAATTCGAAGGCGAATGGAAGTACGCCACCCGACTGGATACCAGCGATATCGACGAACTACATCGTTTCCTGGACGAAGCGGTCAAAGGCAACTGCGAAGGTCTGATGGTCAAAACCCTCCAGAAGGAAGCCACCTATGAGATTGCTAAACGATCCAGGAATTGGTTGAAACTGAAGAAAGATTATCTCGCCGGAGTGGGAGACTCGCTGGATCTAGTTGTCATCGGAGGCTACAAAGGCAAGGGTAGGCGAACCGGAACGTACGGCGGATTCCTACTTGCTTGCTACGACGAAGACAACGAAGAGTACCAGAGCATCTGCAAGATCGGAACGGGATTCTCCGATGAGGATCTCCAGACGCACGCCGATTTCTTCAAGAACAAAATCATCCCACGAGCAAAGAATTACTACCGATACGATTCATCACACGAGCCGGACGACTGGTTCGAACCAGCTCAGGTGTGGGAAGTCCTTTGTGCTGATTTATCACTCAGCCCGGTCCATCGTGCCGGGCAGGGAATCATCGACGCGGAAAAGGGCATCTCGCTGCGTTTCCCTCGGTTCATCAAGATTCGCGAAGACAAAGGCGTCACCGATGCTACCTCGGCCAAGCAGGTCGCCGAGATGTACCTGAATCAGGACCAGATCAAGAACCAGAAAGGCAACCAGCGAGATCCCGAAGAAGATTTCTACTAAAGCCCAGTAAGTCTTGTTAATCGTTTATTAGTTTACATTTAGAATCGAAAATTGTGAAAATCAATTTACAATAAATTCCTTAACGTAAGAAATTTCAAAAAAATCAAAATTTATTGTACCAAAGCATTAGCATTGGTACAGATGAGAAATATTAGCCCAAATGAAGTTGGAATTATCCTCCTGGGATGTGTTTTCCGGTCCCCAGCAATCCGGTCGGGGGAACGGATTGTGTCGGTCCAAATAGTAACTGCTCGGGGCGTGCATGACGAACTCCATGCAGTTCAGCTTCCGTGGGAGATCCTCCTCCGGACCGATCAGATACGTTGCTGGATCGAACCGTTCGCTCGGTGGCGGACTGGAAGTCGTCGGAATCAACCATGTGATGTACGCACTTTTCTCGCAGTACGAATCAATCTGTAGTCCGTGGATCTGCGCATAGTAGATTTTATCCTTGGCGTCCATCAGTGATACGATGTCTCCGATCTGGTAGTAGATGTTCTAAAAGGAAATCAAAAGTCGATTAAAACAAGTCAACAGTAGCACCGCGCCTTAAAACTCACATTATGGAACAACGTTTCGACGGTGTGCGTCGTCACCGTGATGGTGGGTGCCTTCATTGGGTTTTTCTTGAAAATAAACCTCCTCGAACGTCCACCCTTGCCACCGTTTCCACTTGAACCACCTGTACCGCCCTTCCGGGCGCTCCGTACATTTTTTCGAAGCTTTCGTGGACTCAACGACGGCAGAGGCTTCTCCTTAGCATCGGCATTGGAATCTTTTTCGTCCCTTTCATCAACCGGCTCATCCTTGATCTCGTCCGATCCCGATTCCTTTATCTCTTCAATTTTTACATCCTCCGTTGGTTCTTTTGCTTCATCCGGCGGTGCGGATGCCGCTGGAACTTCAGTGGCAGTAGATTCCGGCACTATTTTGATCGGTTCCGCCTGAATCTCCTGGAGTTCCTTTTCGAGCTCAAGCTGTTCCTTTTCCTGCTTCTCGTGGCACGGGCTGCACAAAGTTACGCCCTTTTCTACCGTATGCCACTTTTCCGATGTACCGGTTTGGCAATGAGAGCACTTGGGAGCCAATTTAGGGCCCATTTTTACGGAATTACTCGAAAGGTTACTGCTAGCAAATCCGGGGATGCCACCGCAAGACGCTAAAATTTTTAGTGTAAACAGAGACCTATCATCAGCGCAGCTGCAGCGGTTTGTAAATATAAATACGTGCAAGGTTAGTGCAGACGGTATGGTGACACTAGAAAGCGGGCATTGAAATATTTCAAGCCGAAAAAGCCCCCTGAACGCACGATATTTCAAAACATTCAAAACTCACCAAAATTTGAGTAGGATCCTCTTTCACGGCCACTGAGAGAAAAAAAAAGTCACTTTTTGTGTAGTGGAGATTTTTTTTAAACTACTGAAACTCAGCGCTGAGTAGCTGTAGTTTTTATAAACTTATCATAAAAGTTAGTAGAAGTGACTCTCTCTCTCTTTGAGTTATTATCAGTGGCTTCATATCGATCAAGAGTGAATCTAAGTGGTACACCAGGAAAAATCTGAGAGGTCGAGTTGCCCGGAATAAGCCTTTTATCTCTAAAGCAAATATCAAGAAGCGTCTGGAGGTTCGAAGGAATACGTGGATAAGTCTCAGAAACTCTAGAACAAGGTTATTTTCACTGACTCGACGAATATAAATCTATTTGGCTCGGATGAAAGACATATGGTGTGGAGAAAGCCGAATTTAGACCTGAATACACAACATTTGAAACCCACGGTCAAACATGGTGGAGGCAGCGTAATGCTATCGGGTTCTATGGCTGCTAGTGGAACAGTTACCATGGAATTTTTTGACACCACCATGAACAAAATCAAGAACAACATGTGAAAAGGGCATACAAGCTTTTTGAAAACAAACCTTCTTATGCCCTTTTCTCACCACCCATATGTCACCAACGCAAACCATCAACATCACCGGTAAGGGGAAGCTTTCTCCTTCCCGATGATATTGTTGGTTTGCATAGGTGACCCTTGGTTGGTGATAAAAGGGTCTACAAAGGTTTGTTTTTTTTTTTTTGTAAAATATTGTTTATTTAGGTCTTAAATAACATATTCAAGATATTTAAAAAATATATCAATCTTCTAGAGTCAAAATGAAATCTAGCTCGCCTACATCTATTCTATTATTAATATTCACATTGACAAAGTTGATGTACTTAATGAACGTTTTTAAAATTTGATTTCTTCTCGCTGTTGTCATGTTACCCAAGATTGGCCGTACAAGATCGTCGAAGCTCAGCCTCTGCCAGCCGCCGAGCGTCGTCGTCAATTTTCGCTGGATGTGTGCCCAAGCTGCAGCAACTCGAGGGCATTCGCAAAACTTATGTTGCAAAGTCTCGATTCCTAGCGCACAGTGCTGGCAGTTTGGGTCGTTTGCACGGCCGATAACGTTCATCAGTCTACGGTGCTCCGTCTTCTCGTTCACTAGCAGGTAGAGATTAGAGTCGGTGTATAATGAGTCACGCCAAGATAAAAACAGTTTAACTTGCATCACGGTTTTCGAAACATTCCCATTCTTTTCACTTGGCAACAGAGGACTTCTACAACAACTTCAAATGACTTCTAGCGAGAGAAAAAATATTACGGCTGTAGTAAATCATTATATCAGTGATTTTGTCAAATTATCTTTACAAAAAGAAAAGTAAAAATTCTCATTACTAATCATTACCGAGCGTATCCCATGACAATTTAACGCTCACTGCGTGTTTATGCTCATTTTTTCGATTATATTTTATATTATATTGCAATACCTTTCGTGGACCTTTCATAGCATCGTAATGTTTATTTACTTTGCACGATAGGTAGCCGGTTTGACAGTTCAATAGGTAGACTTGGCTTCACTCTTGGCGTGACTCATTATACACCGACTCTAGTAGAGTTCAGTACGCTGGCTCGACGATAGCCTTCTCGATGATATGTTCATCCAGATCTTTTTCCAATTGATGCCTGGATGGTTTCGTTCCACTCTGGGTAGCTCAGTTTGTTCCAAGTAGAAACGATGGATTTGATCGCTGGAGGGGTTTTGTTGGATGTGGTGTGGAAATAAGGGAATTTGCTGTGAGAGAAGTTTTAGGCAAGGAAGATCGGCGGGGGGAGGAATATTTTGGGCGAGAAGGGACTGATAATAGGGAAGGGAAACGATCTCCTGCAGGTGACGATTGACTAGAAGTGCTTTGCATTTGATCGCCGGCAGTTGCAGTTTCAATCTACACACTTAGATTTTTTACCGAGATGGGCACCACCGAGCAGCTCGGCATTTTATTTTGCAGGAAATTCAGCAAAAAATATGTTTGTTAGCTGAGATCTCGGCAAAATTCCCGTTTGTTAGCTGAATCTCGGCAAGTTTTTCACTGAGATCCAGGAAAATAAAATGCCGAGCTGCTCGGTGGTGCCCATCTCGGCGAAAAAATCTAAGTGAGCACCCTGCTCTCTGCTGCGCGCCAACTGCTGCATTGGGACTCGTGCGGGTAGCCCACGAAAAAGGAAAGTCCCCATCGTTGATGTCAGCTTCGCCGTGTGAGCACATTGCGGTGGAATAACAGACGAGAGGTACCACACCTTCGCTGTAATGAAGATGTTCAGCAGTAGCACTTTCTGCTGCAGGGAAAGGGAGCGCATGTTATGCAACCATATGAGTTACGAGATCCTCGATACTAAAGCGTCCCAGTTTAGTTTAACCATCAGTCGCACTGAGTTGGTGAAAATAACGCCCAGTACCTTGACATTCTCCTTTGTCTGCAGCCCTGGTATCGTCAGTGGATCTCCATTGAAGAAACCAACATTGATCGCCACTGTTTTCAGCCGATTTAGCTTTGCCCCGGATACGATCTCGAAGCTACCAAACAGCTGATAAATACGGTCTAACGTGTGTTTTGAGGTGGAAATCACCGTGATGTCATCAGCATACGCAACGCAAAGGTCACCAGCGCATACACGCTCCACCCGTGTGAGGAGGGGATGAAGATAGAGCACGAACAGCAGCATCGACATCGGGTGTCCCTGACGTACGGACCGTTCTATACGGAACGGCTCTGAGAGGCACCCATTCACTAGCAGCCGTGATGAAGAGGCAGCAGCGACTCGAGAGAGCCAACAGACGAAACCCTGGTCGAAGCTCAGAGAGAGCAAGGTCCGATGCAGGAACTCATGAGAGACCCGATCGAACGCGTGGTCAAGATCAAACGAGATCAACTTCCCCTTCTGCTTCCTCGCGATTAGCTGCGCAATACGATCTTTGAGCGAGAGTGTAGCTTGGAAAATAGAACGGTCGGTATTTGCGCATTTTTGAGAGTCGCTCAGAACTAGATGGATCCGCAGTACTCGTTCCAGGCGGGCCTTCATCACGCGGGAGAGGATTTTAAAATCGACGTTGAGCAGGCTGATCGGACGGTATGCTCTTGCTGTCCCATCCCCACAGCGTTGCCAGGTCATTTTCAGAAAAATCTGGACCAGGTAAAATATAAAATCTGGAAAAATCTGGAATGCTAAAAAAATCCTCTTTTTAACATAATGCTATTGAAATCAAAGTGATGTGCCAATCTTCCGTAAAAATAGTTCAGTATGATCATCTGGAATTTATGAAAAGCACTAGAATGGTTATAAATTACATGTTTGATTTGTTAAACTAATAGTCGATGTAGTTCTTACTATTTGATGCAGTAATAGAATAGTAAAAGAATTTAAAGATTTTATTAGTTCTAAATAATTCTAATATTACTCTGAGGTTGATCAGATTTACAGTTTAATTCTTGACATCATACAGCACACAACACCCAGCAGACCAGTAGGCAATTCTATTTTTAAGCAAAATTCACCGGGCTGAAGTGGGAATCAAAACCTAACATCGTGGAACTCACACACAGTTTACCTAAACTACAGGTAGCTCCACTATTTGCATGACCATTATGCCAAAGAATAATTTTATTATATTACAAAAATGAAAGTCTGATAGCTTCATTTTTGAAGTCTCAGGATCTTGCAATGATTCTAAATTTCGGAATTTATATTTCTCCTGCGTCCCAGATCATGAAATTTTTGTTAGTCTGAATTTACTTGGAACTCTTTACAGGATATCTTCGCCTTTTTTATTAGCTCAATTCGAATCATCCTAGAATTTCATCATATTTCTCACATCGCCCTAAAATAATCTTGAAAATATCTAAACTTTTCCAGCAACATGCTAAGAGTTCTTAGCATTACCTCTTGTAATCTCTTATAATCTCCAATCCCACAACTCCCTCAAATTGGTAATAATTCAATTTTGTGTCCGTTTTTCTCTATGAAATTCTTAAAATATTCTTAACAATTTAGTTGGTACACTCTTCCGAATGACCGTCACACTCTTCTCAGACTTATACGATAAATCCCCTTTAAACTGCTTCGTAGGTAAGGTCAGACTTGTTTTGAAATCCTTTTCAGTATTACCTAAGTAGTCAAGTACTTTACTAAAATGGTTTTGAAAGTCTTCTGGGAGATTGCGCTTAAAACTATATTAAAATTAATCTCCATAGAAACATTAGACAGAGTCCCATTGAAATTATTCTCACGATTCGTATCAGCATACTCCTTAAGTTTCATCATATGAATTTTCTATGATTTCTCTTACGGATTGTATTTCCTTTATTGACAAAATCTCCATGCAATTGTCATCAGAGTTGACAAGACAATTGACACCGTCTTCAACCAGACGTTGCACAGACTGAATATTTAACACTAGACAACGGACAACACACCACACCCATTAGACCAGTAGGGAAATTTTTAGGTTGCCAAAATTTGCCTCGGCTGGAGCGGGAATCGAACTCTCACTTCGTGGCACTCACAATACGCCTAAATGATGGTTGACGCCACACGAAGCCCACAAAGATGGATGTAATTCTACTCAGAAGTAGCTTGAAATTCTCCTTTGATTTCACAAAGAATTCGCCTCACACTTAACTGTGAACTATTTTCAGAATTACCTTAAAATTCCAATAATGTCCAACGTCGATGGCCGTTAATAATTAAAGTAGCAAGTTTGGCACTTTAGTTTTTTTATTAGAGGGTAAATCAATGGCAGTGATATTTTTAAAGCAACATGTTCAAAAAATCT